GATTCATATTGCACTATCCAAAATTCTATGCTGCTTATTTATTCACGGTATATTACAGTCTAGTCTGTATATACGAACTAAAATATGATTTGCAATATGAAACTGCCCGCGCGAGAGCGGGTACGTCAGCTAGTTATCCATAAAATGATTTGAATGTTTATGAGAAGTTAAGTCTAGATAATTAAGTTTTAATGATTTAATTGTAATTAGTTGTTTCACAATGTATAGGAAAATGTTTGACAAAACACGCACATAAATAGTAACAGACACTTCTTTCAACTTTTTTATCTCAGCCTATAATGAACATTTGAAATATGCCTTTTGTACACTTATATATCTAAGAAAGAGAAAAGTGAAGCTGCGATGTTACAGTTTCTTTATTGCCATGACTAAGTATATCATTACTATCTATGTATATATATCAATATTCTGCTTAATAACAATAGTGAAATCGAAAGCTGGTTTTATGACCATTCTAGTCGACGTTCAACGAAACAGTATTCCTGTCTCTTGGTTTTCGATCGACACCCGATGGTGACTTTCAGAGTGACCTAGGTCAGGCCACCATTATCGGGCCCAGTCATAACAAAATTCGTCGGTCAAAGCAAAGAAGCTACGAGCACCGAAGTAGTAAAAAATCTTCAGGTTTATAAGTCGAAAGTACGAGTTTTTTAGTTTTGTAACTTATTTGTAACTGTAACTTGTAAGTCTAACCACTTTTAATAGTTTGTAACTTATACCCTTCAATTTTCAGCGTGTATGTATCTTAATTAAGTGTATAAGAGGTATTTGTTAAATTTTCAGTATAGGATCAGAAAAAAAATGAAAAAAGAACTTCTTAATATTTTTACTATTTTCTTCGCTATTCCAACAATTGTAATGTTTTCGAAATAACGAAAACATGTCATCTAATAAGTTAATCCTTCTAGCTTCTCAAAAAAACTCAAGTCGTTTGGTCCAATTTTTAAAACAAAATACGTACTGGAACAGGTGCAGACGCAGCGAAGATGATACGCTAAGTACGCATGCGACAGCAATCAGTTGTTAGTACAAAATCTATCTCCGCTGGGCGACGAATGAAAGATTGACAGAGCGTATGCGATTAATTGTGTTCCTTTTGTGTCTCTTTTATGAAATATTTGTGTAAGTATATAACACCTGCGTCAATTATGTCAATAAAAAATAAATAAATATCATTTCCAACAAGAGATTTGTATAGTATTCCATGTTTTTCGTATGTGGAATACCCGGAATATATATTGTGCCATTTTTACAATTTGTTTCTCGAGAATATCATGTCAAGTATCTCGTATGTAATTTCATTAATGAAAAAAATAAGCATCATTGCAAGTACGAATAAGAAAGTTCATCCTTGCACACATTAGTACGTATTGTTTAATTCTCGGATTTCTTTCCCTCGCGTCGTTCTTTTCCTACGTTCTGCGAGAATCGAAATCTCGCCACGAGCCGTAGGCCGTAGCTGTTCCATCGTTCTCCTGACGGGCAGAATTGTCGAATGGCAACAGCGTAACAAAACAATCGATACGATCCACCACGTGTTGCGAGGTTACATTTACCGACTCCCTCTGTTTTATCGATGCTCGTGGTAACGCAGGCCAAAGTGACTGACAAATACCATAAACGCCTCTATCGGAGAATCCTTGAACTATACCACTGTTTATTTCTGTGTCTGGACGCGTCGAATCGTAAATTCCAACTTCTGCGTTCCAGAAGTGATACAGTGACAAAAATTGGATTTCTACGATAGTGTGATAGTGGTGTGCAGGGTGGTCTGGTCTGCGTTTGACGAGAAAACCATTAAATCGTGAGATATTTGACAAAATGTGACTTGTGCAGCCATCTTGTGTGTTTTCATCGGCGTCTGTCACAATCGCACACTTTCTAAAATTCTAATTCTTTCAATTAAAATGTGTTTATTGGTGTTTATACGAACCAGACCACCCTGTAGGGAAGTCTACCGGTGAGTTCTATACCCGTGAAAAGTTCATTTGTGCAATTGTTCAGACAGAAGTTGGAATTTACGAAATCGATTGTCTCTCTTGCACATCGCATATACATACACGGTTCCCGTTGATTGTGTGAGTGCACAGACACAGCGCACGGACCACGGAGTCTCCCCCCTTAATAGCATAAAAATTGTGCTAGCGGTCACGTGGGCACCTCGCACATCAACAGTCCTTTTAGAGAGAGAGAGAGCGCGCGCACTGCCAGACAAAGATCTGACAGGGGCTAGAGAAGGACGGCGTTGTAACTATGCGAGGCGACTCACAGGTGTCGGCACTATGATGTCATGCCGCGACCCAGCCAATCCTGAACATGAAGATATAGTTTTGTGCAAAAGGAAATGTTAGAATATATTTTAACTTATATTATGTAATATATGTGTCAATTAGTGAACATCCCACTACTCATATTTTCACAATTGTAATTATTAGGTTCGTGCAAAAATAATTGCGGTTTTCGCGATTAAAAACTTGAGTTACCTCTCTGAAGTGAGATGTTTTGTAACTATGTTCATGTAGTATACTGTGGCGGCACTACCTTCCTTCCTAGATTCGCCATCAGAGGTCTACCTAGTTGACACCTTTCCCGCAACTACCTGAAGCCTTCCTCGTTCGTATATATACGTCCGTAACCGACCATCGTATATCCCCGCGTCTAAGGCAGGGTCTGCTAGAAAGCCTTACTGACGAGTCCACTAGCAGGCCCAGGACGAAACGCTCCCTCTCCCTTACCTCCTCTCACATTCTACAAGTCAACAGTTACCGCCAAATTGGTGACCCCGAGAGGAGCATACGCAGCAGACGAAGGAGACCGACCGACAACGAGGAGCAGCCTACAACGCAAGAGACGCGCCTACCAGAAGGATGGACGGGGACACATCACTTTACAAGTGCCGAGACTACGTAATCCCTCTCCTAGGATGGCCATCAGCAACGCACGGAGGAGCACGCGGCGCCACGATTTTTACCCTCCCAATGGCCACTCTAGGACAGCAGCATATACGGCTCGATAAGGTTCCAAAGGCGACGCGCCTGGCCACGACGATCCTGCATCTTCGGCACGAGCAACGTGCTCGCCATTCAGGGTTTCCTGCAGCTGGACGACAGCGCCTCAACAATACCCGCTACGACATGACGCAGAGTCAGCGGACGACCAGAGCGCTACAAGTAACGCAGTTTCACACAGATCGTCATCGAGTGGGCACCGATCACAACGTCTCCGTCCTCGCAGGTACTCAAAAGATTCGACACGAACTGACATTAGGAAGAAGAACTCGCTCTGATATCGTTCATCACTGGCAAGGGGGTACTGTGGCGGCACTACCTTCCTTCCTAGATTCGCCATCAGAGGTCTACCTAGTTGACACCTTTCCCGCAACTACCTGAAGCCTTCCTCGTTCGTATATATACGTCCTTAACCGACCATCGTATATCCCCGCGTCTAAGGCAGGGTCTGCTAGAAAGCCTTACTGACGAGTCCACTAGCAGGCCCAGGACGAAACGCTCCCTCTCCCTCTCCTTTCCTTTTCACATTTTCCAGTCAACAGATTACCGCCAAAATACCATGTCAAAGCGTAAAGTTGGCTTTATCGATGTATGTCTGTGACTTGTTCTACCTGTTTATTTGTAGCTGTATTTGGTCAGGAAAGTGAAGATGGAAAACAAATTCGAACGATATTATTGTATTAGTATAAACTGGGACGAAAAGCTGCAGAAACTGCTCGCAATATTAATCAGGCATTTGGCCAAGGAACTGTGACTGAGCGTACGGCTCACCATTGGTTTCAGATGTTTCGTAATGGTGACGAAAGTCTTGAAGACGCAGAGGGTCGCGGACGTCCTTCTCTGATCGACAATGACGAATTAAAGGCCATTATCGAATCAGATCCACGTAAAACGTCTCGTGAGGTTGCAGAGGTACTAAATGTTGACCATTCAACAGTTATTCGCCATTTATCAGGAATCGGTAAATGCAAAAAGCTTGATAAGTGGGTACCGCATGAGCTGAACGAAAGCCAGAGGTTTCGTCGGTTTGAGATTTGCTCTGCTCTGCTGTTACGGAACACAAACGATCCGTTTCTTGATCGGATCATAACATGCGATGAAAAATAGATTTTATATGATAATCGACGGCGTTCTGCTCAGTGGCTAGATCAAGATGAAAGACCAAAACATTTTCCGAAGCCAAAACTTCATCAAAAAAAGGTTATGGTCACTTGGTGGTCCAGAAGAGGGATTATCTACTACAATTTTCTCAAACTTGGTGAAACTGTTACATCAGTGAAATACTGCCACGAAATCGACAAAATGCATAAAAAGTTGAAAGATTTATGTCCAATACTCGTCAATCGAAAGGGACCTATCCTATTGCATGACAACGCCCGACCACATGTTTCACGAATCACCGTACAGAAACTCAATGAACTAGGATACGAAACCCTGCCTCATCCACCGTATTCGTCGGACCTTTCTCCGACGGATTATCATTTATTCAAATATCTGGAAATCTTTCTGCGTGAGAAGAACTTCAAAACTCAAGCAGCAGCCGAAAACGCAGTTGAAGAGTTCATCGCCTCTAGAACACCAGAATTCTATAATACTGGAATAAACAAACTTGTACTACGTTGGCAGAAATGTATAGAATCGAATGGTTCCTATTTTGAATAAATAACTTCATTTTAACCCGAGATATATTATTTTAAAGTTCATGCTTCAAAACCGCAATTATTTTTGCACCAACCTAATATATAAAGTGGGTGAAAGATATAGCTACTGATATTAACAAAAATGTATGTAAAAAATATTGATGGTGTGACGGCCTTAGGACTGCCACCACGTCCTTGTTTCTTTCCGTTTAGTTTTTAGCGTTTCTCACGGTCTCGTGCGAGTCTGGTTACTGTCATGCACATTTGGTAACCAGGTTCGGGCGAGACCTGGGGTTCTTACTCCTACATCCACTTTCATCGAGGATCCTTAGGTTTTCCTAAAAGTCCTTCTCTGTTCAACTTTTCTACGACGATTCTTTCTCTCTGTTTCGACTTTAATTTCCTGCTTAGGGTTGTCGTGAAGGTCGAGTGTCCGTGCACATTTAGCGACCAGCTTGTGTGGTCCTTACTGTACGCTGATTTCTCCTTTTTACCATCTCGGCACTTTCTCCAAGTTTCCCGGCATTTTCGGGTTCCTTCCCTACGTCGTCTGTCTTTCTCTTTACTCCATCTATCCTTTTTCTTTTCGCCCTTTGCGTGTAACGACGGAGGAGGTTACTCTGTCTGTACCGAACTACTGAACGGAACTTCGTCGCGCGCGCAAGGATCTTTTATAGATAGACAAATAAATTATAATTGTCAAATATAATATATTGTATTTAAACAAATAATAATAATATTAATTTTACAAATAATTTATATTGTATTTAATTTACGTTCATATACCATCATTATTTGTTATATACATTTTTGTTAGTATCAATAGCTATATCTTTTACTTCACATTTAAAAGCACGTACGGTGCATATGCATTCAAATTTAGCGGTATTTGGCCGCCATATTGGAATTTTAGTTCCGCTAAAACTTTCATATTTTAGATGGCGTTCAAAAACTATCCTGTGTGGGGATATCAGCGCCACTGCGCAATTCCCCCAGACACTCGCCTAGGGAGTCTGCCTCAACAAGGTTGGCAGCGCTAACCTCGGGCTATATATAGTCAAGAGACGAGACGTCTCTCTCTTCTTCTCTTCTTCTTCTCTCGCTTGTCTCTCGACTTCCGACTCTCGGTAGAGGACTCAGGATGAATAAAGTTTTCTTTTACGAACACGTGTTATAATTCAGTGGTATCCTAGTGGTTCTCTACACCGTTCTGAGCTAGTTGGCTGCTCTCCAGTTACGCCGGTCACCTGTACTGGTAAAACCCAACAGTCAGGGATTTTCTGCTGCCCTCTACGTTATGAGAACGGTGAATTTGTGAACTACGTTAAATCCATTCGAGCTCAACTAGTCTAACTTCTACAGTGTTGTCGAGTCTAAAGTACGCAATGTTGTCAGATCATGAGTGTTCGGTACGTCGGAAAATCATCGAAGGGACCATGGTCATGAACGGATTCTCTTCCGTCCGTTCGCTGTAAAGTAGACGTATTAGAAAGGAGTCTTGTGTTCTAGTCTCGATGGACTTGTTAGTTTTTTGTCGCGTACAAAAAAGTTATTGCGCTTAATATTGTTTTTATGAATATGTATATATATTATTATGTACATTTGAGTAAATTGTTTTATTATTCGCGCATGTATATTTTCAAATATCGAACTAACAGTATATTTTTATTCTATATTATTACATATAAGTGAGTAATACGTATCAAAAACGTAATCGAAACACAGATTTTTATTACATTACAAACATCGCATAAAAGATATTTCGTTATATTGACATTTGTAATAATTATGGATGTTGCGGGGAAATCTATTGACATTATGGAACATGTAACGAAATATCACTGTAACACTTAAAAAAGTTTTAAAGTTCCATTTATATCATTGTCATGTGAAGATGTTCATACTTCCAGCAGCATTCATATTCCAATCAAATAATTTACAGAATAAGGAAAAGGAATCTAAA